TATGGTGGGGCTGAGGTCTGTAGTAGTTTGGATTATTGATCATTAGTTTCTGCACCTTAACAGTCGTGCTATACATCGGGCACTTAGTAACGAACGTCTCTTTTCAGCAAGTTAAGGACTCACTGAATTTTTATCATGTCCTTTGTTCGACCACAATTTTGGGAGCAAGGCTTATAAGTATTACAAAAATAAAACATCGGTTTTGGATAACAAGCCTGTTAAATTGTTCACGAAGGCCTATTTTTTTCCAGGACCGAACTACAGGGTGCAGTATGAATACATACAAAACAACATAAACGCTTTGAAATAAAGGTTGTGGCATTCTTGCATTTCAAGATATTCACGATTTATTTCTAGGAGATTAGTGACGTCATTTGTTTATCTATTTTGTGGAGAGTGGACGAATGCAACATGGCAGTTTCTTTACATTTACTGTTTGAGTGTTAACCATCCGTCAGTGCCTTGTGAAAGTTCATAATTAAAAAGGTTCAGCTGGTTTCTCATGCTGACCTGTATCTCCCAGTTCAGAACTTGTAAAAACCCAGTTGATCCAAGTTTATTGCAGCATAACTGAAAGAGACTGTTTACATTATTCTGGGAAACGTGAGATGACCAGTATAATTGACGAGTACTTTTTAGAACAATTCATACCATTAGAAACCAGTTTCTAATTTCTACTGGAGGTTCTGCTAGCAATTTCACTGTAGCCAGTGCTGTTCCCGGGTATCCCTTTGAAGGAGGATATGTTGAGGATACGGCGGAGCAGTCGAACTGTGGCTAAGGATCTCTGCCTGTGGCTGGAAGGTTGCCGGTTCAAATCCCGCGGCCGGCAGAGGAACCCTACTCCGTTGGGGCCAACTGCCCAGGGGTGCCGTATAAATGGCTGACCCTGCGCTCTGACCCCAAGCTTCTCTCTACCTGTCTGTGTGTCTCATGAAGAGCGAGCTAGGGTATGTAAAAAAGACAAATTCCTAGTGCAAGAAATGGTCTATGGCTAATAAAGTGATCTTATCTTATGTCAGGACAGTGCTTCGTTTTAGCATATTGGGGTTTGTGCAGTGTGATACACCAGCAGAAGACTTGAGTTTCCCAGGTACTTGCAGCAAGTTAGTACCCTCTTAGTGCTTGGTAAAGTTGGAGAAGCATTGTGGGGAGTAGCGATTTATTTGGGTACACTATATCTGAATACTTTTGGGATAGAGCCATATTTAAATTGGTTTGATACAATTTGTGTGATGCAATCACCATTGTAATACAATGATTATTGTTTTCAAACCATGTTTTAACGTGTATTTGTTAAATATTTGTGTATGGTTAGATCATGTGTGCACCGCAGGGTTGCATGCTTTCATGCTTGCCTCCCCAATGAGGAATGAGTGCAATGGCAGGTACATTAGAATTACAACATATAGGAACGTAGTAGTAACAGAGTGATGACATAAGTTCATGATATTTTTGCATTTCTGTGTGGTTTGATTGATTTGTAATGTGCCTCACTCTGCATGGTTCACTTCATTCAGGATTCAGTCATCTACAAGCACTGGCAGGAGGGTAGGGACTGAATAATCCTTTCCCACAAGGAATTCATATCTCTCTAAATAAATGAAGAAAGGCTAGTCTTATGGCACAGATGAATAAAAAATTAGATTCACCTAATAAAGGAAACGTTAGCCCTGCATTCACAGGGAGCTGTGATTTCTGGACTAGCCCTGTCTTCTCCCATAGGGAAGATGTGTTGCCTCTCTCTAATCAGGAGACACCCTGAGCACCAGTTCATCACCTCTACGGAGAAGGGTAGACTGGGGGCTGTCAGTGTGTGGGCTGTGGAGGACACAAAAGCTTACTGTATAACCACAGCTGAAGCATTGTGCATTGCCTGAGATTTTTCCCACTCAGTCTAGAATTACTATGAACACAGCAGTTATGAAAAAGTGGTTAAAGTTAGTTTTTTGCACTGTATGCTCTCTGTTTTAGGATTGACTTTAAAGCCCCACCCAGGCATTTTGTGGAGGCAGTTGATAGCTACAGTTACACATTACAGAAGACTTTTACTTGATGCATTTAAATATTTTTTTTGTTTTGAAAAACTACACTTTTAATGTTCTGTAAAATATAAAACAGGATTCAAGGTATGTGTGGTTGTTACTTTTATCCTTCCACACTTAACCTATGTATAGGTTACTTAACCTATGTATAATTTTTGCATTAACAATCTTCTGTAGTGCTCTTAAAATTGAAGTGCTTGGTGATGTACTTCACCAAGTACATGTGTAAGTTCAAGTTTATTTGTCATTCCAGCCATATACAAGTATACAGAGGAGCAATATATCGTTATCCAGGTCTCCAGTGCGAATACAGACAAGACACTGAAGAGACAATGCTATAGACAATGTTGACAGACATTTCTGACAAGGTACAGGGTACATAAAGTGCAATGTGCATAGTGCAATTTACTTTACAGGATTGTGCAAGGAATACATCGGACAGTATGCCTGACATTAAGCAAAAAAGAACTAGGTTTCCAGATTTGGAATAGATATAGTAGGGATCAAGAGCCTGACAGCCAGACATGAAAACAACGATGAATTGGTGAAATGCGGAATTTTAGAAATTATTACAGGTTAATCTGTTAGTGAGTAATTTTTTATTTATTAGTTGTTGCTTTAAAATGAATCAGTGAGACAATAACGCACGTTTTGTAGAATTCCCCCATCATTGCTCGTTCTCTTTTGACCCTAGATTCCGGATCCGGCACAGGGTCGGGCTCGGATTCGGAACAGGAACGACCCAGGTCGGTAAGCAATGGTTCAGGCAGCGAGAGCGAGCCGGAGGACCGCGACGACGAGGACGACGAGGAGGACGGGCGCGAGGCAGGCAACCCTAGCAACAAGGAGCTGTTTGGAGACGACAGCGAGGAGGAGCACGGCAGCCAGCACAGCGGCAGCGACAACCGCTCCGAGAGGTCGGACAACCAGTCCGAGGGCAGCGTGCGCTCGGAGCAGGAGGACAACGAGCAGCCCAGCGGCTCCGACGGGCACCAGGAGGAAGAGGAGGAGGAAGACGAAGGCGGGCACAGGTCGGATGTAGGCAGCCCTCAGTCGGAAGCTGGCAGCCATCGGTCTGAGGGCGGGAGCCCCCGTTCCGAGGCCCCCAGCCCGCACTCGGAGGCGGGCAGCATCCGCTCGGACGCAGGCAGTGCCCACTCGGAAGCTGCCTCCCCTCGCTCGGACGACGGTGGGAGCCCTCGATCGGACCCGGGGACCCCCCGGTCTGGACCGGTGACCCCACACTCTGAGGGGGAGGGATCGGTGAAAGAGGCGCATTCAGAGGACGAGAAGTGGGACGCACAGGCCAAGAGCGACCAGTCAGACGACGAGGAAAAGCCCCGGCATACGGATGAGGAACATGGGCACTCCGACGAGGAAGCTGAAGAACGGGAGCATAAATCAGGTAGGAGGTGAATGGAGAAATTCCGTAACGATCTTGCCAGTGCACTTTGCGGGTGACGTGGTGGTGTTTGCAAAAGCATTCTTTGTGACCTGAGTTTTACCGTTCTGGGTTGTAAAATCTGATGTGATCTGATGTTGGGATTTTCTTTTCATTTTATAGAATCTGCAAAAGGCAGCGACAGCGAAGATGATTTTGTGAGACAAAAACACAAAAGGACAGCCGCTTCAGATTCAGACTCGGACAGTGACGCCGGAGAAGAAAAAGGTATGAAGTCGCCCTGCGTACTGAGTGTGAAGTGCATGAATCGGCAGAAGGTGGCACAAGTTAGCAGAAGTTTCAGAAGGTGGCACTGGCTCCCTGAAGCCTGGATAGAACTGAATTGTCTCTGGTCTTTCGCTGTCGCAGATTTCAGCAGAGTAGTGCTGTATGGCCCTGAAGCTAGGGATGGCTTTGATTGATTTTTAGCTAGGGAAAAGCTGGACAGGCTGAGACCACTATACAGAGTTTCCTGCTTCTTCATTTAAGTCAAGAGTTAATAATGCGGGCTGGTTAAGGGCAGAATTATATTACAGAGGAATCTACATCCTTAAATTTTCCTTGTAGTTTTCATTAAGAACTTTTAGGCTTAATTATTGTTGATGATTTAAGTGTCTCTCTCTGAGTAAAAGCCCTTGTTTGTCTCATCTGGATTAAGACTTGTCCATGTCATGTTTTCCTTATCCAGGCAATAAGCCTGCAGCCAGTGACCTCTTTGGGGAAGCAGATGACATCTCCTCAGACAGCGACGCAGAGAAGCCTCCTACTCCTGGACAGCCCATGGTAAATCAAGTCCAATGTCTCTCCAATCCTCATCTAAATGTGGAAATTGTGAAAGGATTTTTCTTTGCTTAGCCATTATGTGTCCGGTGCAGTGCTTCCGTGAGTCTCACAGCTTTTTGTACTGCAGGACAATGACGATGGAATGGACAATGAGCAGCAGGAGGAAGAACAAGTGCCAGAAACAAGGATAGAAGTAGAGATTCCCAAAGTCAACACAGATTTGGGAAGTGATTTGTACTTTGTAAAGCTGCCCAACTTCCTTAGTGTGGAGCCCAGGTGAATAGTTTTTTTTAATATACAGCACACAGATGAAATTGTTGCATAACAAATTTGAGTACAGATGCTTGAGACTCTTCATGCTTACTTAATTGAATCCATTAATTGAATGCCCCTCTAAGTCCGCTTTATAATTTCTCATTCTTGACAGACCCTTTGACTCTCAGTATTATGAGGATGAGTTTGAAGATGAAGAGATGTTAGATGAAGAAGGCAGAACCAGGCTAAAACTAAAGGTAAGAGTATCTAAAAAACATAATTCTTTTTTAAACAGTTGTAAAACGGTTGTAGGTTTTGAAGGTGGCTGTGTATTGTCCAGAAAAGCACTATATAAGTGTAAGCAATTATTATTATTATTATTATTATTATTATTATTATTATTATTATTATTATTATTGCATGGTAGCCTGACTTGGCAAATTCACATGACAATTCACAAAATGGTCATGTACGTTAATATGTGGGAGGCTTCTTAGCTTCAATCACAATATAAAAACTCTAGAATTTCTCAAAAATAATAATCTTGTAACCTAGAGCCCCTAAAATGACCTCACTCAAGCTTTTGTATGCTATTCGAACCTCGTGTACTATTCAAACCCAGCTGAGAATCTCACTTTCCAAGCAAGTGTATGTCTCCCTTGCGGCCGCTAGAGGCAGCCTGATGGGGTTACAGCACTTTGATGGGGCACCTGGTGCGTGAGCACTTGCAAATGCTATGCTTAACACAGCATTTCAATAAAAGACATTAAGGACTGCTTGCTGCTTCATCTTCAAGGTTGAAAACACTATTCGGTGGAGGACCCGGAGAGACGAGGAGGGCAACGAGACCCGTGAAAGTAACGCACGCATTGTGAAGTGGTCTGATGGCAGGTGAGGAGGCAGCTTTTCCTTAACTTTTGTTCACAGTAACAAAACCCCCTGTGCTGTTTTTTTCAGTTTCAGCTCCCAGCTGACGTTGGTTTTAACGTTTTTAATTCTTTCCAAAACATCATTGTCTCAGCGAGGGGGGGGGGAAATGTTTTTTGACAAGTAATTTCAGTTCTAGTAACCATCTTAAAATTGTGTAAAATATCATTTCATGTCTTTTTAAAAGATTGTAACAATGGTAGAATAATTGTACTCTTATTGTGTTTTGTTCTGGCAAGTACAGACATTTCATGGCTTTTATAGAGTACTTATTGTAAGAAAGTCTAAGCCTTAAAACTTCAGGGAATTTAAGTGGTAATGATGATAATGATTGTGCAGTTTTAAATGTCTTTGTTATTGTGAAATTGGCCCTTGCTTGCATCATTGTAACAGCTTTCATGATGCGATCATACTTTTCAGAAGTATTGATAGAAACTAATTTGGCATTTTTAAGAATTGCTTTCCGTTTTAAGCTACTCCATAGGAAGTGCTGTTTTACATTTATACTGCACAGTGATCATGCTATGTTCCAATGTCAAGGAGTCAGATAAAGAAGTGATATTCTGAAGCATTCCACCATGTTATAAAAGGTGTTAAAAGCCTTCTGGAAGAACGCTGATGGTATTCCTTTCTCTTCCCAGCATGTCCTTGCACTTGGGGAATGAAGTGTTTGATGTCTACAAGGCTCCTCTTCAAGGAGATCACAACCATCTCTTCATCCGACAGGGAACTGGGCTTCAGGGACAGGCTGTGTTCAAGACCAAGCTCACATTCAGGTGCCAGAGTACTCTTCTCTCTGCACAGTACCTTCCTGAATGAGACACAGTAAATGAACTCTTTTCAAAGCCTGATGGGCAGTTCTGTTGATTTTCCCCTGTCTTACTTGACAGTTGTGATTCTTTCCTGCTGAGACTCACATTTTAATGTACATTTTCTATTATATTATATTTATAATACAAAACATATAGAATATATCTTTAATATACTGTCCTATATTACTAATATACTGTTTTCCAAGTTATAAAAAATAGTGGAGGCATGTGACTTGTTTGAGCCCTGGTTTTCTGACAGAAAGGTAGGGCTACTAGTGTAATGTAGCCCCATCAATGGCTTATCTGGACCTTTACAGATTAGAAAACATTCTGCGTTGGACTGTGCTTTTTAATGTCCCTCCCTCGTATATATGGTCTTTCATACAGCTGCTGAAGGCTGAGTGTGGTTATTGTTCTCTCTCTTAAGCTCAAATTCTACCATAAATCTGTTCTGTTTAGACGAAAAACACTTGGAAAAACTCAATAGAGAGTCTTGCATAAAAGAGCATTACGTTCACAAAGACATAACAGCAGGGCTTTTGTTTGACACTTTAGACTCATTCAGCTTACAACTCTTCTGGAAAAGTTTCAAGTACTGAGAACAGTGAGGATATGTCAGCACATGTTGTGAAAAGATGGTTTTAATCACGTGTTTGGAAACAATCAGATTTGAAAATAGAAATTAAAATTGACCAGGGTTGAACACAATTATAAGAAGTTTGCTTGTGCACATGTTTGTACAAGTTTATTGGGTTTAGAACCTTCTCATTTTGTTCTCCCTTGAAATTTAAAATGTCAGCTTTTGTGCTGTGAGCCTGAGCCTATCTTATTCATGATGATTTGTCTTTTACAGACCCCACTCCACAGACAGTGCCACTCACAGGAAGATGACTCTGTCTCTAGCAGACAGGTGTTCAAAGACTCAGAAGATTCGGATTCTGCCAATGGCTGGCCGGGACCCAGAGTCTCAGCGCAATGAAATGATCAAGGTAATGAGGCAACCAGTAGCCTCATTTATAAATAGTAGATGGTTATCTGACAGGTAACTTATGCTTCGTTAAGAAATTAATGACTAATATAATGTCTGTGAAAGACACAAGACCAAACATAAACATGAACAAGCTGCATTAAAAACTGTGGAAAATGCAGTCACTCCATTGCTCTTTTTTTATTGAAAGTTCTACACCTTTTTCTTGATTTGCTAAAATGCTTAAAGAAAACATTCAGAATCTTCCCTGTTCATACCAGTCTTGTTTAGCTCAGAGCTATTTGCTCAGGCCCATTCAGCCTGTTTGGTAGTTGTTCTTTGTACTTTTGCATGGTAAGTGACTAAAATGGAAGCAGGAGTTCCAATATATGTATATTTTTAAATTGACAGTCCTTGTCCTTTCATTCTTAAAGCTGATGTTCTGTGATTTTTAAATTACACAGGTCTGTATCTACTGAAATGACTTTAGAGCTCAAAGCCAGCCAAATGTTTACCCTGTTTGCTCTAATATTTCATTTTTTTGCGAGGGAGGTATTTTGAGCTACATTCAATGAAGGTGCTTCAAAGGTGCAGCTTCCCCCATTTGTGTATTGTAGAGAAATAATCAATGCACTATGACTGCACATGTCATCCATCACGTTGTGGTGCCAGTATTATTTTGATGGACTTATTTTTTCTTTCCACATGTTAATTGTTTACAATGAGGATGAGCTCCTTTGTGAGCAGTACTGCTGAGGTTTGACTAGAGAAGTTGGACTCGCGGATGTTCTCTTCCATACTGGCAGAGTTGTGTGGTACAGAGTGCAGGTTTGCTGCCACCCGGGCATGAGCTCCAGCCTTGTCCCAGTTAACTCCCAGTCCCTGTCTCCGCCTTTCAGAAAGAGGAGGAAAGGCTGCGTGCGTCGATTCGCAGGGAGTCTCAGCAGCGCAGGATGAGGGAGAAGCAGCACCAGCGCGGCCTGAGCGCCAACTACCTGGAGCCAGATCGCTACGAGGAGGAAGAAGAGGGGGAGGAGTCCATCAGCCTGGCAGCCATCAAGAGCAAGTACAAGGGAGGCGGCGGAATTAGAGGTGAAGCTCATGAACGCCATCTCCCAAGTGTGAATTGCTTGAATAAGAAGGAAATCACCTGTGTTTTTGGAGGGTGTTACTACCTGAAAAGAATGAAATTAGGGCACAGGGGTTTTGAGGTTGTTTTCTTGTACAGTATAACAAGCAGAACTGGAACATCTCTAAGTCAGTCAAAGTCCCATAACATGCTGACCAGTGTTCAGAATTTAAACTTTGCCGTAATAGGAATGTCATGTTGGTGCTTTAACAGTATTTCTTCATACAGAGGAGCGGGCCAGAATTTATTCCTCAGACAGCGATGAGGGCTCGGACGATGACAAAGCCCAGAGACTCATGAAGGCCAAGAAACTGGACAGCGATGACGTATGTCCTTCAACTGTTTATTTTAAATCTCTCTTAATGTCTCAAAATAAAATAGATTGCTTCAGAATTGGTTAAATAATCAGAAATAGTTAAACACAGAGTGACATTTTCAAAAGCTGATTTTTGTGCTGTTAAAATTAATGAATTATGATCTCATAAAGACACAAAGCACAATATTGTGATATACATTTAGAACCGTTTTTTTCAAACTTAGTTTTAATGTTTCATCCTTCCAATATGCTAGTTGTTTGTGTTATACTCTCTGATGCATTACTGTTCTTGCACAGCAGTTGGTGCTGTTACTTAGGTTTTGGTTAGATTAATATAAACTCAAAGCCAAGCTATGTTCTACATTAGGCTGTGAAGTACATAATTATTTTAATCTTTTAAATTCTCCATACGTGTCTGGTAGAAACATTTTGAATTTGCAATCGGCATTTGTCTTTTACTGACTCTTAACAGGAGGGAGAGAGTTCTGGGAAGAGGAAAGCTGATGATGATGAAGAAATGTCCACAAAGAAGGCCAAGAAATATGTCATAAGTGATGAAGATGAGGAAGACGAATAATTTTGTAACGGTCGCAGTATTTTGTCAGTTTAGCTAGTTATTCTATTTTTATGAAAAAGGAATTTTGTTTTTGTACAGATTGGTTAAATTAAAATAATAAACAGCCTTTCAGTTGTGTGGCATTAAACACTATAGTGGAGTTTCTAACTTTCCCCAAGAAAGTATTAAAGATAATGTACCAAATAGTCTAAAATGTTGGTAACCTTTTTTATATAATGCCCTGACGAGAAGAGGCCGAAGGCCCATTCAGCCTGTTTGGTAGTTAGCAGTTGATTGATGGGAGGATCTTAAAAAAAGAAGGGTATTAATTTCAACAACATGATTTGGTAGCCTGTCCCATACTCCTACCCGTTGGGTGAAGAATTGTCTCCTCTTCCCAGTTTTAAATGCATTTCTATTTAGTTTACACTCTCTCAGTTCTGAAGAAATCTGCAAGGTCAACGTTGTCAGTCTGCCTCCTTTGTTCAATAGGTTAATTTCCTTCAACTGAACTTGAACTTTATTGCCATAAGTAACCAGTACATGTACTGGTACAATGGAATTCTTACTTACAGAAAGTGCAGACAGTGCATCAAGACAATATACAAACAGTAGACAATGTACAAGTAAACAGTTTGAATGTAAATAATGCAGACGTGTAAACAATGACTGGAGATGTGCAATAAATAAGAAATCATAATGAGGTAGATAGTGTAGGTGTGGTCCGAGGGCCATGGCTAAACGTGTTCGCCAATCGCACTGCTTGTGGATAGAAGCTATTGAAGAATCTAGTGGTAAGTGTCCGTACGCTCTTGTATCTCTTGCCTGAGGGCAGTGGGGTGAAGAGCTCATGCCCGGGGTGGTGACTATCCTCTGTGATGGCCAGAATTCTACCACGGCAGCGGTCCTCATAGAGCTGTTTAATCTCGGTGAGACCACAGCCGATGATCTTCTGGGCCATATTGACCATTCTCTCCAGTGCCTTTCTTTCTCGAGAAGAGGTGTTGCCATACCACACGGTGATCCTATTGGTGAGGATCCTCTCGATGGTGCAGCGGTAGAAGTTCACCAACACAGGTACTGGCACCCCCCATCGTTTGAGTGCACTGTCAGTGTACTTCTGCACAGCATGAATATGAGTGTGTGCAGTGCAGAGGTTTCTTTTTTTAAATGGGCTCTGCAGAGTTCCCAGTGCTGAATGTGAGAACGGCACTAGCCCACGGCGTGGGGTTCTGCTGGTGCTGGCATGGCTTCTCGTGGGCTTTGATCATGGGATCTGAGCTGCTGCGTCTCCCTCGGCGCACTGCTACATAATGGAGGCTAATTAGTAGTCCAGCTGGCAACGCTGTTCCCTGTACTTCACTTGCACTTCAGCAGGTGACATGGCAGGCTGCTAGATCCTGTGAAGAGTGTGGGTTGTACAGGGCTCCTTTTAGTAACTTGAGATTTCATACTCATCCTGCAGAACCTGGAGGACTGCATCCTCCGCGCTCAGGACTCTTGAGAGTTGGATGTAAATGAAGGAATAAAAAAGATACAGAATAGTTGCAAAAATATCCATCAAGCTTTTTTTAAGTGACTGACAAGCTTATGCCGAACAGCTAAGTTTGCTAAAATAATGTGGTAAGCCAGGGCAAAAGAGAGTAAAGTCCAGGTGTTTGAGGGAAGGCATTGTGATGTCATGGAAAAGAGGCAAAGTGTCACGGAAAGCTAACTTTGATGGTCATGGGGGAACCCAGGGAGCAAGTTCTGATTTGCAAGTGGTGTTGGTAGAATGAAAGAGATCTGCTTGCTTTGGGATTTTTATTTATTTAGCAGGGAGAATGCCCTGGAGGTCACCTCATTTCTGAGGCGGCCGTAGCCAGACAAAACCGGCTGCAAATCTGCACACAAGACAGGAAGCGGTCTTTCTTAATGGCCGGGGGATTTAGCCAATATTATATAAAATGGTTCAGCTTTTGATTCTGAATGGCCTTTATTTCAAACGGTACACATAGGAGGTCAAGGTAGCTTTTAGTCACAATGGTGATCTGAACTAGAGTTGTTAATGTTTCTGATACGAAACTGATGTTGGCTCCTGAAAATGAGGGTTGATACTATTATACCAGAACGAAAATCATGGAAAGGCATGATTTTTAAGTCTCAATTTTTACAGATTTTTTTTTTCTGTCTGCATAGAACAGAACAGGACATCAGTGAGCTTTAAAGTCTTATGTTAATACGTGTCTTTATCTTTGGAGGTTCTGAATTCCTGGTACTGTTGGTAATAAAAGGTTTTTAGAAAGTACCTGAGTTAACTAATTGTGAACAATTAGAGTGCTTTGTCCTGTTTATGTTTCCAGGAACTGTCCTGGGCTCTTCTGTCATAAATCTTTCTGTGTAAATCATTTTATTTCCCTCTTGGAATGTACAGAATTGTTTTTAGAGAGAAAATGGGCTTTTCCTTTCAAACCATTTTTATGAAGTTGTACTTTAAAAGCTGCTGATATCCATTTAAAAAACTAATCCAGTGTTTGCCATAAAATGGTGTCTTGAGGTAGCAGCCTGACATTGTTGACCTTTTCTGAAATACATTTTCTCTGCTCTGTCTGCTCTGACAAGCAAGAATGTGGTTATGCAATACTGTCACATTGATGAACTGAATAAACTCACAGTGTGGTAAGCTCAGGACAGAGCAGGGAAGTAAAAAAATCAGAGAAGTGCTGGGCCTGGAGTGCATTAGTTCAGAAGTTCACATGAAAAACTGAGCTCACAAACTGCATTTCACTAAGATTAATTTGTTTCCTCCGTTTCACTACAAAACTGGGAGATTCAGTAATACACCTGCTGCTTGCCCAAGGTACAGAGATTTAAAATGCAAGCAGTCTTAAGATTTTTTTATTTTTATACTTATTATGCCAAGACTCCTTTTTTTTCCATGCCTAATTACACAAACCCAGTTACAGACCGGTGGCGTGTCATGATTGCAGCTGCATTTTGAGATCACATCTTCTAAAGGTGACTATCAAGCCAAAGGCCATCTATCATTTCATCATCCAGGAGCGTGCTCTGAATTCGGCTGCCTTAGGAGGCAATGGCATGCATGACTAAAAAGGCTTTCGGGCTGTTCTGTGTGAATGATTGATTCAAGAGCCCTTCTCTGCCTGTGAAACCAGGCCTGCAACACTGAGAAAGGTTTAAGTCTTGCAATGTATTTGCTAAGTTTCCCAAAAGACCCCTTCTAACAGCGTCCATGTTTGTACTGGTCTGGGCATGCCTGGATTACTGAAGAGTTTTTAAAAGAATGAGTCAACACAGCCTTGGCACAACTCCTTTGAGATGAAAGACTAGCCAATGATACCAGCTATGCAGCTCCATTTTGTCATTTTCACTATACTACAGTAGTTCACTTTGTGTAATTGCTGACGATTTGGTGGCAATAGTAACAAACTGATGGGTAATATTTCATCCAGTGTTAATGGGAACATACATGTCAATACCTTATCCGTCCTTTACCTTTAGAAACCTATAATTCTCTGGTTAAAACAATTTAACAAGATACTGTTGACATGATCAAGCGATAATAGCACAGGATTAGCCTAAAACACTACTGTTGCTTATTAAGGTGTTTAGATTAATAAGAAGTGTACGCATTCTGCAAGAAAGCTTAAATCTCAGTTCCCTGCTACGTTCTTATCTTCGTCTGCTGAATCAGGAGTCCTGGAGATGTAAATAATATGAAATGCAGACACTCCTTCTGAGGAAAAAATGCTGACAAAGCAGTCGCCCTGTCAGCCACACCCATCAGAAGCGTTCTTAATGATAAGAAGGGTTCTGCTTTTAAATATTGATATTAAATATTATTAAAGCCTTCATTAGGCTATATTTAGAGATGTGCACCATTAGTTAGGAAGGCCACCAACACTATGCTGAAAAGCAGAATTATCAACTGGGACCCACTTGCCCTGCGATCAGTGAAAGTTTTCATGTTAAGATAGGTTTAGTAAGGAGGTGGTTAATGGATTATTGCCCTTATCTTTCAGAATTATAACACTGACACAGTTATAACATTATAACACTACACCTAACCTCCTCCCCCCAGTAATCATATATCTTTGATCTCCATGTGATGCTCATGATCCAACTGGTGTGTGTTTCCCAAGATGCTGTACTCAGGACTGGAATATCCCCGTCTAACTTGCTTACGTAAGTGGTTAATTCCTGTAATCTAAACGAAATCTAAGAGCTCAGGGCTCAAATACGATCTCTGCTGGCACCCCCGACAGAGAGTTTACAGTGCCAGACGTGGGAAGAGCAGAATTAACACTGTGCCTGTCGGAGGGAGGCTGTTCACTCAGTCTCCCACTGCCATCCTCTTTCCAGCTGAGCTCTCAGTACTGTCCCGCACATCCAGCTGGCATTTCATGCTTTGCTGATTTTTTTTCCCCCTTACTTTGCAGAACTGTACAATTTAGGTCAGGCTGTACCCAGATAGAAAAGGAGAAAATCCACTAACAAGGAGTTACTTTCCAAAATGAACTGCACTACGCTTAAAGATTATGGATTAACACTCCCCTAAAAAATGGAAGAAAAAAAAATAAGCCATTCCAGTCCAGACTCATAAAGTGTGCATAAATCCCAATAATAGGTACAAAATCTCTTATTTCTAAATCTCCTTATTCTTACAAGAAGCTCCTACTGTCTCCCACATAAATTGCCTTCTCACCAGACATTTATGTTTCCGAACTGCTAAAATTGCTTTTAATTTAGCCACAGCGTTTGAGAGCCTATGAAGTAGCAAGGGAAGGTGATTAATCTGCAGCATTTGTTTCTGTTTATTTGAGGCTTTCTGGAGGATGTGGAGAGAGTTAGGAGTCTGAACAGAACCTTTTTAACAGAAGGTTCTTGGTGGAATTGTATGTCTAACTACAACAATTGTGGAAATAATGGGTGATTTTTTTTATTTAGCGAATTTTTATAAATATGCTAAATGAATGATAATGAAAAGCAGTTCCTGGTGTTCAATACTTAATATATGTTTGATCTATAAGCTTTATATTTAAGCTTTATAAGCTAATATATGTTTGATCTGAAAGTACAATATTACACTCCAATGACTGACAAATTTCCCTGAGGTTAATATATCAAACTTTCTGAAGATGACTGACTGTTACTGCATGCATCAGTTGAAATACATGCAGTAACTATATTTAAGGATTTGTAGAAA